TGCATGAATATCATTTAACATGGTATTCATAATAAATGATAAATGGAAACATGTAATAATAATATCCTAAGAAATGATATGTAATCATAATATATATTTGAATGATATGATGGACATGATCAACTAGGCATAGGATGTAATTATTATGATAATTTATACTAACATGTGAATGCATGCTTATGATAGAATATAATGTATGAATGATATAATATAAGATAGGGTAATCAAGAACTCCCTTAGAAACAACAATGAAAAACATCCATGGTGTGATCAAGTCATGGAGAAAGTTGGAGCTAGTTTGGATCGTATCACCATGTCCCTCCATCAATGTTCAACCAACACCTCTATTTGTTCTCTTTTGTAATTAATAAATTGTGACTTTAGGAAGAGAAACAAGGAAAGCCAAAACATCATGTAACCATTCGGTCATACCCCTTCAATTTCTATAAATACTTAGGTCATCTTCTTTGTAAGGCATCAATCCTTTATGCAATATAATTTCTCTGTGGGTTTTAACTCCTTTATCTTAGTCATTTTGTGACTCATCGACTTATCAAGTATCTTTACTTGTGGCGTCAAACCTCTTTACTTCCATTGATACTTTTGGTTCCTAGATCATTATATCTAGTGGGTAAAAGTCCTATTCTACCACCCCTTGTTGAAAGCATATAAAGTCTGGGTATATACTCTTTAGTATAGGTTCTTCTTTGAGCATTTTCTTCAAGATGCTATCACCATAACTCCATCACCATCTTCCTTTTTATTTCATAAACCATACCCCAAGCCCATATCATTGCGACCAACCTTCACTTTGTTCAAATCAACCCTTTATTCTTCCATACATCAACTGTCCTAGCCATTTTCTTTTGTGGTCATTCACTTGTTGTGCAGGTTATTTGCTTCCTTCCTAGATCCGTAATCAAGAGGGTACAACGCCATTACATCAATATATATATATATAGAGTATATATAAATGTGTGTTTGTGTGTGTATATATATATAAGTATTAATAACATGCAAAACACGCCTTTCAAAAAAAATATAAAAGTGTATATATATCATTAAACATAAGTGACTAAAACAAAAGATTCTAAACTTAACATTCACATTTAATAATTATGAACATTAAAGAAAGAAGGGAAAATTAAAAGTAATTAGAATGTATATATGACTAAATTGCATTGCATTGAAAATTCAAGAAGAGATTTACAATTAAATCACGATTGAAATGAAAGAAATCAAAAAACAAATTACAAAATTGAAAAACACTGATTGTTGGAGGAGCACATACCTAATTAACCCAAAATATATTTTTGGACATTAAAAGTTCTCACGAGGCACCTTAATTCCCGCTTCTAAATTCTCAAAAACACATTTATTTTTTCTAAAAACAATCTTTCTTTTAAAAATCCTCCCACCAATTTTTCCTTAGAAAAACAACCACTCATTTGTGTGTATATATATATATATATACACGGTTTATTTTAAATTGATGCATAAATTTTAAAATTTTCTATCTCAAGTAAAATTATCTTTTAAAATTTTAAGATAAATTATATTTAAATTTTTAATGAATTATGACATAAAAATAAATTAAATTTATAAATAAGATTTATATTAATTTTATATAATCTAATGAAATCATGTTTAATAAATAAATTATTTAATGAAATTAATTTAGTGATTATAATTAATATTTATAATATAAATATTATAATTAATATAGAAAGTAAATTTATTAATTTAATTATCATAACTAACAATTTATTTTAATTTTTTAAAAAATAATTATATTAATTATCATAGTTTATTATAAATTCAAAACTTCACAACTTCATCAAAGTCTTATAACTACATCAATTGTAACTTATAAGTAATATAATTTATTATAAATTTAAAATATCACAACTTCATTAATTGTAACTTATAAGTCAGATAAATATCAAGTCATGTAAATATCATATCAGTTCAATAATAAGTCAGATCATTTACAGTTTGAGTCAATTACAGGTCAGGTTCATAAGAGGTCAGGTTGATAACAGGTGGGTAATATCAGTTATTTACCAGGTTAATCTCGGGTTCGGGTTCATATCAGTCAGATGCAGGTCAGGTTCGGGTTTATATCAGTAAGATGCAAGTCGGGTTCAGTTATCATATTATCAGTTCAATTCGGGTTCTGGTCATTCTCAAATTGGGTGTAGGCCGGGTTTAGATCCACAATTTTCAGGTGCAACTCGAGTTCAGGTCAATATCAGTTCGGACTCAAATCGATTTCGGATCACCACTACTCGGATCGTAAATATTTTTGACTCAAATCGATTTCAGTCAGTTTTACATGTCGGATTAATATTTTATATCCCTAGGTGAGGGTCAGTAAGACTCTTAAATCAAACCTATAGCCTTTATAAATAATGTATTGATCTCCATAATACACTTGATGGCTCGACCTATTTAAGTGTGAAGTAAAGCTGCTTTTATGATATTCATGGTAAATCTCTAGAACACTTATGAAAATCCAGGCATGAAAATCAAGGCACGTACATAACCTGTTACCGTATAATCACGATGAAAAGCAAGAATAAATGTAACATGACTAATACGAATGTTAATTTATATAATAAGTTTTTGATACATAGAAATATGTTTCACCAGTAAACTATGTCATACTTTTTAAATTTTGGTTCATAGTCCATAAGACACTCGAATGACTATGTTACATCAGAATACTCCGCTCTTTTTCATTTCCTATTCTTTTGAAATATGTGAGGGATCTTTGTAAATTAAATATATCTAAAAAAGCATTATTTTAGAGATAATTTATTCGATTTCCTTACGTAAAATGATCACCTAATTTTTTAGTTAAAAGATCTCCTAATTTTTTATTTCGAGTTAATTCTATCATATGTTTCCAAATTATAACTTTTATTTTAAATTATTCTTTAAATTTTTGAAGATTCTAATATGATCCCCAAACTGTGACTCTCATTCTAAATCAATCTTTAAACTTTTGAACATTCTAATTTCATCCCTAAACTATGACCATGCTTCTAATTTAGTCCCCAAAGTTATGAATATTCCAATTTCATCCTCAAATTCATCCAAATATGTAATTAGTTCACCATACTTTAACCTAAAAATTTGTTTTTTTTTCAAACATATAATAATATAACTTGGCCTAACGATTTTATTAACAAAGGGTGCGATTAGTATATTCATATAGTTTGGAATGAAATTGGAATGTTTAGAAAGTTTGGGGAGTGGTTTACAATGAAGGTTATAGTTTGATGAAATTGAAATGTTCAAAAGTTTGAGGACTATTTTAGAATTATAAACATAGTTAAGGATGAAATTGAAACGTTTAAAAGTTTATGGACAAATTTGAAATGATGATTATACTTTGAGGATATGTAATGCAATTAACTCTTTTATTTCAAAAGGAATATTATAATGTAGTCAAAAGAACAAATACAATACTAACGAGTGTTGGTTCAAGTGGTAAGCAATTTGATATCGTTTAAGCAGAGTCTCAGGTTTGAGTTTTTGTGTATGCAGAAAATCTCATTCACCCACCGAAACTAGGTGTGCGACCTGGATCGGTCCATATTAGTCAGGCCGAAACCTTAGAACTCGAGGACAAAAAAAAATATAATAACTATTGTATCTTCTCCATATTGCAAATATTTTAATTAATTTTGATTAATTTATCATTAAAATATTCAAATAATTTTCAAAATACATTCCAAAAAGTATTAACAACCAGTTGGTCTAGTGGGATGAGACACTAGGTATTTTAAGTAAGGTTAGGGGTTCAAAGGTCGCACTCACCTCTGCAGTACTCGATCTAGATTAGTCGATCAATAAATCAGATACCAGTGATTAATTAAAAAAAACTTATGTTTTTATTGTCTTCACTTTCTTCTTTAAATTGAGTATTCCTAGAATTTTGCTTTACACGCTCCATACTTTGTAGAAACGTTTGTCGAATTTTGAATGATATATATTCTTGCGAAGTATCTTTAAAAATAATGTTTCTTATGTCTCAAACAACTCTCGTCCTTTTATTTTTCTTATGATAAAATACATAAAAAGTATTTTAACTATAAGATAATATTTTATTGAATCACTTAGGGGTTGTTTGTTTATTGTTGAATGAAACCATTCAGCGTTGAATGCTGAACCGTTCATCATTCAGCGTGTTTGATTCTTACATCTGAATAAAGACTATGCTGAATGAAACAATAAAACATTGCTGAATGAAACAGCAAAACATTGTTGAATGATTCAACATTAAAGTACATTCTAAATCATTAAGCTCCCGATATTTTACCATAATACTTATTTTTTCACATGGTGTCTTATTAAACAATCATATCTTATAATATAATAAATCATTATGAAGGTAAAAATGAAAATATTCATAATTCACATTGTACATTAATAACCATTATCAAATATCATGTTACAATCAGAGCCAATTCATACAGAGCATTTGAATCATTCAGGCCACTGAATCATTCAGCTCTTAATCATTTTATTTTATCAAACAACCCCTTAATTATAAGACAATGTTTTGTTAAGTCTATTGATTATTAAAAGTTATAAAATAATCCCTCAACTATATGACATCACTTTATTGAGTTTTTTTATTATCAACTCAATTATTCATATGTTATAAATTTATCATTTTTATTAAAAATTGATAACAATTTGAGTTGACGTTAAAATATTGATTTGGATATGATAAAAATTTAAATGTTTAATAAAAAATTACTTAAATTTAATAAAAATAATAAATTAATATATATCTAAATCATATAAATTAAAATTGTATAACTTTTTTCAAAATTTTAATTCAAATAATTTAATATTATATAAAATCTTTAATTAAATCAATGTGACTAAGTAATTACAGCATAAGATAATCTCGGAACTAATAAAATATGTCTACTTTAAATGACAATTGAAAAGAAAACTCTTTTCTTATTTTTTGTTTTGAAAGTTCCACCCACTCTGATCTCCGTCTCTTCGCGAAGCATGCCTCCTATTTCTCTCTCTCACTCCTTTTAACACAACCCTCCCCTCTTCCGGTGCCCGATCCAAGCTGGTATGTTTTGAAACCCTAAAGTTATCTTGAAAGTTTCTGCTTAGGTCCTGAGAATTTGAGTTATGGATCGGTTTATGTTATCTGATCTCTGCCTCTGAACTACCTTGCCATATTTGATTATCTGTTTGTTTGTTACTCTTCTCGTCTTCTTCTCTCTCTTTGTGATCACTTTGTGGAGATAAATAATTTTTTTTTGAAGAGAAAGATGTCAGTTTAACGAGAATAGCGGGCCAATATCGTCGCTATTTTGTTATTCTGCTGTTTGCGGCTGTGATACACCGCTATTGTTGTGAATTTTGCGCACACTACTATTGAGGTCTTTACGGTGGTGCAGGTGCATCTACAAGGACTCAGCGGTTGCGTCACCACTATGCCACCCCTATTTGAAACCCTATAACGTACTTATCAAAACTATGCTTTCTTAGTTAGGATTTCAGATAAGTTTTAGGTTAGGCTTGGAGACTTGAATTTCAATAAATGGTTTTGACTTTCAAAAATACTATATATTGTGTAATAAAACACATGTAAGTGTTATATTTCTGATATTTTTCAAATTCTGTGATTTTTTATGTCTATTATAGGTGAATTTGAATATTTGATATCTGTGAATTTAAGTTCATGTTTTAATATCTCTCAAGCATGTAATCTAGTGAATCTTAAATCGTTTTACATAATATGTGCATTTTATTGTCCCAATTTTGGTCATTGATATTTAGTTTAATAGTAAATTTAAGACAAATGGATACAATGTTATTAAAGAATGTATATTTGATGTGTTACTCAAAACTACCATTTATTAATAAGGTTTCGAATAAGTAATCTTACTAACTTTACATAATCATAGTGTTTGCATTTCATTCTCATAATTTTATATAAAAAATGAAATTTAAACCCCAAATTTTCAAATTCATTTTTCTAAATATAGTGTTGGAGGGAACTTCTCACAGTATATGTATCATGGTGCTTCTTCCTATTACGCTTCAGTTATTTACCTGGATCGATTTGATGACATTTCAACTAATGGATATAGTTGTCATATGCAGACTAGTAGTACATCTATCATGTCAGAACCTCAAAAAAAAAATTTGAGTAAGCAATATAAAGCTGGACCAGATTTGTTTGGATTCTATGCTTGTCAAATAGCTGATCTGTTGTCAGAAGATGAAAATGCCTTGTCCATTTCCAATGCATCTGAGTTGTCTCAAGGGAAATATGGGGCGGTCAGTGGTAAAAACACTTTAGACTGCAGTTGTAAAGATGCTGATTCAATTTTCCAAAACAGCATTGTTGCTGGGATTTCAGATTTCAAGAAAGGAAGATTGAAGGGATTACTTAGGCAGAGCGTGAATGATCTCTCAATGGAAGTTGATGAGGTACAGGTTCTTTCCACCCCTGTTTTCTGAAGATAAATGAGTAATGATGCCTACTATTGGGTACTTGTGGAATTTGATTTTCTCAAAGTGCATATGGTTTTTGTGTTCGGAACTTCTAGGGTTAATAGTACATTTTTTTTAGCTTTTTATAATATCAAACAATCATATTCTCTCCTAAGACAAATGAAAACTACCAATAGACAAAATTTGGAAGCCTCATTGCCCTCATGCTTGTGTACCTAATATCCCGCTCTCATAAACATTGGTTCTACGTTCTGCCAAAGAACTAATTTGTTTCTAACAATCAAGATATATCCCAATTCAGACAGTCATGAAGAGATTATCGGTTTCATTTTTCTTTACCAATGTTTTCAAGGGTGCAAGTCATAAAACTTCTTGCACTGAATATTCTATTTTGAAGGACACGTTCATTCCTATAGTCACTTACTGGAATCTCTTTCTAGTTTTTATCGCTTCTTAGTAACCTTTAGTTGGCTTGCTGCTTTAATGGTTCCCTTCTTTCAAAAGTAAATGGTCAATGAAACAATAATGTAGAATTGGTTTTTGGCCTCCATCTTTCAGAGGGGAAAAATATTGTAATAACTGAAAATTTTGATTATTGCAGATGTTAGATCCTGTTGTGGCTATGTCCAAGTTACGTTTTAAGCTCAAAAACAACAGCTTGGTGAATTCAGCATTAGATGGTGATTCATCCCAGGTCATCTTCCTGCTCATCAACCAACATTTCAGGAAATTCTTATCCTATCAAATCTGGATCTTGCAAAGAGGTTATATTTTACATTTATCCCATTGTTGAATCTTGATATTGATTAACCAGAAATGTATTTCATGCACGATAAAAGGAGCACATGCATTATCTTCAAACAGGTCATTAGATTGTATAAAATGCCAATTGCCAAGTTATTATACTGAAAATGGACAGATAGTAGATATTCAGACGCTTTTGTAGTCAACTGTTGGCATTAGTTTGTTCTGTGGAACTTTTGGCCGCATTGGATATATTTGCACATTGTATGTCTATGTATCTATAGTCTTGTATGCATATTCTATTTGAAGCAGCTGAGGCATTTTCTCTCGAGTGTGTGCTTACAAAATGAGGCATTATCATTAGTAACTTGTTAATAAATGTGTTTCATTATACTTTTTCCTTTTTTTAGAAGGAAGATGACTTGGAGTTCCTTCTAAAGAACGATAACCAGCTGCTGGTAGAGGAAACAATGAGAAAATATTCTGATGAACTATCCTCAACGGTGATTTTCTGGAATTGTCCTTTTTAGTTGTTTGTTTTTGGGTAAAGTACACAAATGGTCGCTAAACTATGTTGAGATTATCTGGTTGGCCATCAAAGTTTTGAAAGTTACAAAATGATCATTAAACTTATCGAATTGTTACAAAATGATCTTTGAACTTGTTGAATTGTTACAAAATGGTCATTAAACTTATCTAATTGTTACAAAATGGTCATTAAACTTATTGAATTGTTAAAAAAATGGTCATTTAACTTATCTAATTGTTACAAAATGGTCATTGCACTAATCAAACTATTACAAAATGGTCTTTAAACTTATGGAAATTTATCTCTATTTTATAACGTGTGGTGACCATTTTTCAACAGTTCAATAAGTTTAATGACCTTTTTGTAACTTTGATACTTCAATGGTCAAAAAGATCGTTTTAGCATAATTTAGTGATATATTTGTACTTTATCCTTTGTTTTTTCATACTCTTCTGTATCCTGTATGCCACTTTCCAAAAATTGTTTATAGCTGAAATCAAGTGACATCCTTCTTCAGCTGGTGCATATGGAACAAAAGCTTGAAGAAACTTTAGATGCTATGATGCCCAAGTGTAGGTATGGATTTGTTCCCGAGGAGCTTACAGCTTTGAGTGTGCTTTAGACATTGTGCTATTCTGCAATGAATATTAGGTGCTCATATTATGTATTTTACCTTTCACATGTGCATATGATGTTATAATACTGCCACCTTTTGCCTTGCTTCAATCGGTTTTTGCGCTTTAAACTTCAATTACAAGCCTATGACACGCACTGAGAAACGACAGCTTCAGAAAATGATACAAAAGCTACCCAACGAAAATCTTGCCCGTGTGGTTGAAATTATCCAACGTGGTAGGCCAACTGGAAATACTTGCAGTGAAGAAATCTTTGTTGAACTGGAAAAAGAGGTAAAGAAATAGCTTCAAGTAACATGATTTCAAGAGTTAATTTAGAATTTCAAACCTGTACCAGGGACGAGGCCTTCTTTTTAAAAAAAATTCCAATGTCCGTTGAGCCACTCTTGTTGCTTGACGGTTATGAAGGGGGGTTTTTAACGAGGCCTCCCTTTTTATCAAAAAAAAAAAACCCTGTACTAGGGCAATGTCTTGTCTTGCAGGAAAATGCAACGCTCTGGAGATTATATTACTACGTTGAAGCCATCGAGAAAGCTAAAATGCTTTCACAATTGCAATGTTACAGCCCATATATTATAACCATCTTTCTGAGACCATGACAGCAGTTATACATGGCAATCTATCAAGATACATGGCCTTCGATCACTGAATACTATCAAAGGATTCTCTATAGGTATATGCTAATGATCCATGTAAATTGTTCTGTCTTAAAGGTGTTGACAAACATACTTTAAACTTTAGTGCCGGCATTTCTTTTAATCTTTTTGTTATTGTCACTAAAACACGAGTATAGTCCCCATAATTAATCTTTGATGGATTTATGCAGTATAGATTGAAACATACTTGTAAGCTCATTAGCCAAGCAGTATGCTTCTTTGGTAGCACAATAGTTTCAAGGCATGCAATTTTTGGTCCATTTAAGTGTTACTTGGTAGGGAAGTGGTGGCGGATTGATGAACGTTGCTCATGTTGAATAATCAAACCTAGAAAGCTCTAGACTAACAATGGGGAATGAATAGAGGAAGGTGGCGGTAGGGAATGAAGCCTCCTTTATATAGGGGTTGAATCCTAAAGGTCTTAAATTACTAGAGAATAAAATAATAATAAATTAAATATGTTTTAACTCTAATTCCTAATAAAATAATAATATTTAAAAATATTGTTTTAACCTAACCTTAATTCCTAATAAAAATAATAAATCTGATCTTAAAAGATAATTGATCATCTTATATTAAATTATATTACAAATAATCAATATAAATATTGAAAATTCGTAATATTTACAAAATCACGTATTAATCTCGTATAGGATTTTTTACATGCACCGTTTTCAGTAAAATGGTCATATCTTGAGTTCTCGATATCGGATTAATGCGATTCAAGAACTGTTGGAAAGATAAGAGATAGATGGTCGTATCTCCAGAAGACATCTTGACCAAATAAGATCTGGATCCCATTCAAAAAGTTGTCGTAAGTATGCTTTTGTTCTGATCTTCTTTTCTAATGCTTGGATGAGTAGATCATTTGGAAGAGTTATTACTTCTTCCTTTGATGTGAGCCTTGTGATGTATGTATCATCCTCCCTTTCTTCAAAAAGATTCGATCTCGAATCTAAAACATTAAAGGGAGCAACATTAGAATCGTTTAATGATTCATTAACATTATGCTTACCGAATAGATATGCTTTGAATCTTCGAGACTTTGTTATTGTAATAGGTTCGAGTAGAAATATTAGTCCAAAGAAGCATTTATTATGGACTTTGGTGCATGTATCATTCTCCCACTCCTCAAAAGGATTCGTCCTCGAATCTGAAAAATCCAAAACAAAGAGAATTAGATGTGTTGAAAGGAAAACTTGTGAAACATTTACCAGGATCAATTTGATGTATCTTTATGCGTTTTAGTCGAGGTTTCTTCTTTGTAAGAACTGATTTCTTGTAGTCTTGAAATCCTCTTTTGCATACAAGTCTTGTAATCTGATGTTTAGGTTGAAATTCAACATGGCGTCGACCACTATTGGCTTTTTATATGACTGCTTCAGATAATTTGTCCATGGTTTTATTCGTGTGTGGCGAGAATGAGTGTTTAAAAACCATGTCAACTGGTTTATTAAAGTAATCCCTCAAGTCTCCTAAGTGTGGTTCATGAATTAGGAATTCTCGTGAGGAGATTTGTGGACTGTAGAACCTGTTTAGTTGACAAGGAAACGTATATACAAGATAAAGCTCATTAAAAACACTTTTAAAAGTATGAGTAGAAATATCATAAATATCCGAGTTATTATGATATATATCTTTGATATGTTCAATTCTCGAAATAGTAGTATTCGTTTGATAGTTAAGAGTATACCTTCGTGGTAGTGCATCATCTACTATGTTTTGCTTACATCAGTCTGTTACGTACTTAAAGGAGTTGTGTTTAGTATGGATGACAACTTCAGGAGCCTTACCTTGTAAGAAGGAGAAGAAGTACGTTACAATGTCATTAAAATGAGTAATAAAATACTTACCTTTGGACTCCGGTAAATCGTGACTCTTCATTGATATGGCATAGTGATTAGGGCTTTCAGGTGGTAACTCGTCAAGAGGGTCACCTAGCACTATTCGACAACTCTTAGCGATGGAAGATGGTGTGGGCCAGTCTTGTGTTGTTTTTACTTTCTCATCATTTACATGGATTTCGTGTGCACGAAATATAAAGCTTGTGGAGTTGTTCAAGTCACGTTTCGTCATTAAGATGGCGCCACGACTAAGGCTTTCTTGTATGTATTTTTTTTGTAACAAATCTAACTCTTTGGTTTCTTCGAGATTGTATGTTTGACGGGGTATAATGGAACCTTGAATTAGATTGTTTTGGTGTTGTTTTCCTCTTTTCGGTGGTAATTTGTTAGGTGGATCACCTAACACTTCTCAAAAATCCTATAACAAAGATGAAAACACACTAGACAAATCCTTGTTAATGTTAGAAATCGAAATAATTGATTCCCTAAATCAAACAACGATGAAAGGTTGTTTGTAAAGAAGGTTCTCTCTCAATTCTTTTTTGCTCACACAAATTTTGAGTGACTCCTTTTTTCTCACATTTAGGTTCACTCACCTCCCATGGGTCATTATTCTTTTGGCTTTTGTAACTAGTGACCTTTTTTGATTTTGCCTCTTTCTCATCTTTTTCTTTTTTTTGCTTTCCCTCCCTCCTCACAAATTCTCATTTGATCTTTAGGGGCTGGAAGTGTGTCATTCTTTGATGGTCGTTGTTTCTCCTTGTAGGGTTTGTCATCTTTTGACTTTTTTTGAGAAGGTAGAGTAGAAGATGAAGAAGGATTTGAAAGATTACCTTGGCAAGAGGATGAAGTACCTTGGTAATGTTCTCTGAATCAAAATCTACTTTGGATTTGTGCTTCGATTGTTATTGCCTTCTTTAGTGTCTCTTCAAGGTTTTCGTACCCATGAAGGTAAAGAAGATCAATGGTGTTTGAGTTTAAGCCGACGACGAATCTTGACACGGTGACCTCTTCTTTTTCGGTTATGTTAGCCCTATTGAGTAAGGATTGCATCTCCTTGTAGTAGTCTTCAACTGAACTTCTACCTTGTCGAAGTCGGTGTTATCGTAGTTTAACTTCTCGTGTATAATGTGTCGGTAGGAATCGCTTCCTCATGGTTTGTTTGAGGTCGATCCAAGAAGTGATTGTTGGAATTTGGAAGTTTTGGATCTTTTTCCTTGTTTGCATCCACCAAGTTCGAGCATATCCTTCAAATTGCATGGTGATAAGGGGAACTTGTTTAGCTTGGGGGCAGTCATGGTATGCGAACATGATATCAACTTTTCCTTCCCAATCGATGTACCTGTCCGGATCATTGTCTCCTTTAAAAGACGGGATCATGAACTTTGGTTTTGCAAAGAGTTCAGGTGCTTGGAAACGTGGTTGTTCTCGCCTAGGTACAAAAAAATCAGCATTGTTTAGTCTTGGATTCTGGTTTGATAGATCCAATTGTGGTTCTTGTCGTTCTCTCACGGTATAGGTAAGTTCATCAAATCTTTCAACTTGAGTCGTAAGCCGTGCAAGTGCGGCTAAGATAGCCGTAAGTGTCTTGTTGTTATTGTCGCCCATCCTGAAATCATAACACTCGAAAGAAAATTTTAAAGTAAAATAAAAGAAAGAAAATTCAACAAAGCAAGAAACCTCACAAGTCACTCCAAGAAAGTAACATAGCGAGAGGCAAGTAAGCCAATCCTGTACTCTTTAAAACTCACTTTACCAAGTAGTCTTCCACAGTTCGTATCGGAGTTTGATTACTAGCAAAGGCGATAAG